GGGGGGGGGGGGGGGGGGGGGGGACTAAAATGGAGCACATCGGTTCTGCAACTAGATCCCAACGCATGGGTTCTTGAATACAGCCTAATCTCGGTGTTTCAGTATATTCATGTAAACAGGGAGCTTTTTTGGTTTTTTCAGCCTCAGGAAAATTGTATAGTGGAGTGGTAACAGTAAGTAGTAGAATGACACCAACTTAGAAGCTTATGAGGACAAAATGTATTCCCATTTTTTTGGTTAATCCATCACTTTTACCATTTGAAATGTAAATAAATTGACAAAAGGTGTTTCAGTATATTCATGTGTATATCAAGTGAGATAAAGTTTAAATAATCACTGATGTAAAAAAAAAAGAAGCTTAAAAGAATCACTTCTGTATAGAACACACAATGACATTTATAAACTCGGATATTTTTAGCTGAAATAAAAAAAATATTATCATTTTTAGTAAAATAAACAAATGGACTCTACTGATAAGAGTCTCTATAATCAAATGGAGTCTATTATCATTTTTAGTAAAAAAAACAAATGGACTCTAACCAGCTGGTTCACAGGGATTGGTAAGTCCACCATATTGTAACATAGCAATCAGGCACTAATCACTTATTACGAGGGTTTAAAAACGATCTTGAATCGGATTGGGTCTTATGATAATTAAGATCTACAATAGAGTGTTATGGTAAACCTTGTGATGTCCACACTTGACAACTTTCAAAACTTCAAGAATCATGTGAAATCCTGATATGTCTCCCACTAATGGAGTTTTTTTGTCGACGAGTTTTTACTTGTCCCTACAATAACAACAACCCTAAGTGATAGAGATTGAAAGAGAGATAGATACCCCCTCAGCCCAAGGAAAACAACCACACATTTCTCACTTGATGAGATTCCTCTTGTGATAAAGCCAATAAAACTATATGATGATTTCAAAATAATACAAAAATAGAAATGGATCCCAAAGTACATCCCAAAGAAAATGACAATTTGTGGGCTAGATAATGTTGTACACTGTATCTGACACCGTGACATCACTTTTAAATTTATACACCAAATAATGATAAAGTCATAAAGTCCCCTAGTATTAAAACAGTATTGATAACTTCTACATCAATATTTAGTGAGTAATGTTGTGTGACTTATCACTCACCCAGATCCCACTTTTGACGGGGCTATCATCGACAGAGATTGATCAAATCTAAGTATCACTGTTGGGTTAAAGAAAGTTGCCATGCACAGATATCTCAAGTAAATTTCCAATGATATTAATGGTTTTGTAATAAGGTAGCAATGTGGATTCTTTTTTCAAATCTTTCTTGGCTCTTCCTTGAGAGAGACGAGTTTTGGTGACAAGCATCAAGGGTTTCATTGGTGGAAACATTATAGGACTATAATTTTATTATTAATTATAGTCCAAACAGTCGGGTAAGTTTTATATGAACATATAAAACTAGAGAAAAACTAAGCTTATGCACAACAGATCACTCGATCATGTAATTTGTCAGATATGCTTGTGGAACAATTCTTGTCAAAGAGCATATTCATCTGAAAGTAATCGGACATCATATCATTCGATGAATTTATTGCGAAGGAGTAAAGGAAAACAAGATTTAACGGTGTACGAAAGAAAAAAATATCTTAGTTAAGATGAGAAAAAAAAGTCTGAAGTGAATTTAGTCTAAGTGTACTTTGCACAAACATCAGTCTCTCGTCTTTGAGTCATGAGAGCATGTTTATTGGGAGGGTGTTTAAGGGGGTACTTAGAGAAGTGAGGTGCTTAGTTTTGAAGAGAGAGAGTGTTGAAAGAGAATTAAGCACTTTCAACACTTTCTCTCTTCAAAACTAAGCATTTCACTCCCTTAAACACCCTCCCTAAGCACTCCCAATAAACATGCTCTGAGATGATTACTTTATTAAGTAGTTCAAGAAATTGCCTCCTCGTGAGTTCCTGCTGTGTTTGCAAGGACAATGTTTCTTTTTTCATTTGTAATCTTCACTGGGTGTAGGAAGATGAAGTAATTGCATCCCTTATTTATTTGGCCATTATATTCAGAATAAGTGGAAATACAAAAGGATGATACATGTTTGGCTTCTAATTATTGTAAATATAACATTATTGACCTTCACTATATAGTTTCCAGTGTCTATGTAGAAGAAGATAAAACTATATACTGATTTTTAATAATTTTATAGTAACATCCCAAGTAGTGTACTAGTGTAACATCTGGAATCATTATTGTTATATGTTTTGTCATCATCTGGGATCATTATTATTATCTAGCATATTAAATAATGAAAAGATTTAAATATCTTTCTCCATATTAAATTTTATTTTCCTCTATCAAATCTATATTATAATAATAGACTTTCTAGACTCCACAGCGCACCACGTCAGCAGTTTTGTGAGTCCCGTAGGTATATTTTAAAAACACATAGTCTTGATAAAATGATTACAAACAATGAAATACACTTTAGTCAAGTGGTATAAGGTATCTAATTAATCATGCAAGACTGTGGGTTCAAACCACGTAACTATCATGTATTTTTGATTTTTTGATTTGGGTTATTATCATATGGGCTTTTTGTTTATAAAGTTTTATGTTTATTTTTTGGGCTTATTGTTTTAAATATCAAAATAGTTGGATAAACCCTAAAGCTTAACAAGTTCAAATCCAAAAATAGTTAAAAATGGATCCAAAAACGAACAATAGAAAAAAGAAAAAAAATAACAAGTCTCACGCGGTTGCCTATGCGGATGGCTTTAAAAACCTTAAAACAAGCTTATTATACTATAGCTCAACCCAAAAATAATAAAAATGAATCCAAAAACGAACAGACCAAAAAAAAAAAAAAAGTCTCACGCGTCTGCCTACGTGGATGGCTTAATGAGGTTTGAATAATATAGATTAAGAGCTCAAAAAGTTAAATCATTGCACATATTACCTAATATATATTTTCAAAAAAATTGTATGTGAGATAAAATATAAAAAAACAAAATTAAATTATTTTTTATTATTTATTAAATGAATATGTAATTTCTCTTACATTTTAATAACTACTATAATTTCATTGAAAACATTCCTCACCACCGATTTCAGACTCCGACGAATGGATTCCCACAGTCGATGACGCCGTAGATTAAAATGCCACATCATTTATGAACAAAACTCAAACTTAAAAAAAAAACATATATAAAAACCTATCTAAAGAAACTTAAACAACGAATATTAACTTAATTAAGGTTATTTTCAAATTGATAAATCATTTAATACAAATACTATAAATATAGAATTATATCAAGTTTTGACCTACGATATAAAAACTATTTACAGCAAAAAAAACACCTACTTTTACACACTAAAAACTATATTATAGCCTAACTATTCCTATAAACTTTATTTCGCATATAAATAACATTTAACACATTCCTAATATATTCAAAAAAAATTGTATGTGAAATAAAATAAAATAAACAACAAAATTTAAGTATTTTCATTTTTATTAAATAAATATGTAATTTCTCTTACATTTTAATAATTACTATAATTTCATTGAAAACATTCCTTACCACCGACTCCAGACTCCGGCGAATGGATTCCCACAGTCGATGACGCCGTAGATAAAATGCCACATTATTTATGAACAAAACCGAAACTTACAAAAATCCATATATAAAAACCTATCTAATGAAACTTAAACAACGAATATTAACTTAATTAAGCTTATTTTCAAATTGATAAATCGTTTATTACAAATATAAATACTATAAATATATAATTATATCAAGTTTTGACCTACGATATAAAAACTATTTACAGCAAAAAAAAAATAGACACCTACTTTTACACACTAAAAACTATATTATAGCCTAACTATTCCTATAAACCTTACTTCGCATAAATAACATTTAATACATTATATATACAATATTTTCACTTTACACTCTTACTACATTCTTTCCATTTCATTATTATTTAGTGTCATTAGAAGAATCCAATAAACCGACAATCGAAAAAAATACACGCAAACACAATGATTCCGGCTCCGCGCTTGCGCGGGGAATATGCAACTAGTATAAACAAACAAATAGTTTTGTGGTCCTTTCTACAGGTATATGCTTCCTCAAGCTCTGCGTACCATTTGGATTCACTATCTAAACATAAACTATAGTCAAAAAGAAAACATTTTGTTATTAAATTACACTATATTTAAAATTGAGATTTCTGATTTATTTTCTAGGTTGTTTGTAATGTTACATGATAATTTTATTTTATTCGGAATTAAACAACGACATTATATGGATTTTTGTTACCTACATAAAAAACTAATTCTATTGGTAATTTTGTGTACGTTTGTATTTCATCTAACATAACAAGGAATAACAAAGACTAGTGTACTATTAGGTATTAACCTTTACAGCAACGCACGGTGCATGGAGTGAAACAAGTATCCAAATGAATACATGATGGTACATCATCTATAAAGACATTCACGATACATATACTATCAAACAAATTAAGACACCTAGCTAATCCACTTGCTCAATACATCTCTCTCTACAAAAAAAAAAATACAATGCCAAGAATCATGTGGAAAAGCTTCCATCATTGCTTCCCATCAAATCTCACTAATCCCTCCACCGCCGCAGCCTCCGACGATGATCCCAACCGTCCATCCATTCTTCTCATCAACAACTTCAACCACCTCTACAACGACTCCGCCGCCGCCGTATCCAAGCGTCTCATCGACGCCCCACCTTCCTCCACCACAACATTCACTGCCTCGACCTCCACCGCCGCTTATTCTTCCTCCTCCTCCACCTCCTTGGATGAATCCGATAATTACGATTTTACCCCTGAACACTCTCCCCCTCCTGACTTAACCTCCGTTCTCGCCTCTCGTCGCTTCTTCTTCTCTTCCCCTGGACGCTCTAACTTAATCACCGACTCACCGGACCTCCGTCACCGGTTTAGTTACGAAACCGCCACTACCACGACTACTACTAGTCCTACTAGGCTTCTTACCGGAGGAACCGCCGTGAAACAATACGTGCAATCTCCTGATCCTTACAACGACTTCCGGCGATCGATGCAGGAGATGCTTGACGCCGCTACAGACGCAGGAGATGTTCGCCGTGACGAGTTCTTGCACGAGCTGTTACTCAGTTACCTCTCACTGAATGCAGCAGATACTCATAAGTTCATTATCAGAGCTTTCGCTGACGTTCTTGTCTCTCACTTATCGGAAGGTCACCGGACAGGCTGACGTGACATGTGTTTCATGTTATGTAGTAAAAACTACTCGTGTTATGTTTTTTTGGGATTAAAGCTTTAGGACAAAAAAATATGATAATATGTAATTATTGTGTAATGATACGAGAAACTCGATCGCATGCAGTTTGGTTGGTTTTTTTTTTTGTTACCATTTTAAATAAAAGATGAATCATGGATAAATGAATGATAAAATTTGATTGGGCAATTGTAGATTTGTTATCAGAAAATTGATATTTTTTTTATTGTTTTGAAGTGATAAATTTTTCGTCAGGATTAGTGCCATGACAAACAAAGAAAGCTATGTCGACTGACAATTGGTACTATTTCTTCTTTCATAACGTATCAATTATATATAGAATCTAAAAAAATAGATTGACTTCCTTATGTTTTTGGTGCTGTCCTCACTTAGATTCACGTCGACACAAGAAACTAAAATGGATATATGATAAGTTTTACAGAGTTATTTTATTTGTATTCAGGATTTTTTAGGTTGGATAAAAAATATCATCAGTTTTATCAATAGGCTGGTTTATATAGTGACTCCAAAATACAAGAAACTCTTGTCACATAAAGGCGTGGATTTTGCTGTATTTAAGATATTATCAAAACTTATTTAGTGATGTAGAGTAGCTTAATATTGTTCATCTAAATATAAAGTTGAATGGTGTAAATAATAGAGGAATACATTGACACAAGTATGTATATCCGTGAACTAGAGCATTAGTCATAAACATTTTAAAATTCTTAGCCACATTCAATTTATTGTTTTAAGAGAAAAAAGAAACCATGAAGCACATCAAAACAATGCTTAATTAGGAATGCCAATACGAATAATATATATATCAATCGCTGGTATTCAGTTTCAACAAATTAATATTGAGATCTCTGTTGTTTGTGAATTCTTCCCATGCACGAGATATTACACATAGCACAAGGTGAGACCAAAAGCAAAATAGAAGAATCCTACGAGACGAATGTTGGCTGAAACCATGCATATTCAGCCGATATTAATTATACTGGTATTTTTTCATTATGAGATATCTCATTAACCAAGCCAAATTACAAGTCTATAAAACGCATAAGAATAATTATATATATTCGATTTGTGTAAGACTTTAAAAGCACAGTAACATTATCTTTTAAGCAACATACGGTTTTTAGCGCAGGTATTAAGCAAATTTCTTGTCTTATGCAATGTAAGTTGGTATAAATTAGTGCCTGCTTTTAGGCCGCTTGTCTCCAACTCTCCCTGGCCAAGTATATGTATGTTTGTGTGACATATGTGTGCTGCTGCCTGCTCACATGTGCTTGAGAGAGATAAGTCTAGAGATACATAAGAGTTGTGTTTTACTTATATGTATTTAATATACACTAGATCTTGACCCGCACAACCGTGCGGGTTTTTTTTATCGATTTATAATTTATAAAATTTAGGAATAAAATAGTAATATATTTATTTATTAAATTTTGCAAAATACGAAAGTAATAGATGTTAAAGTATCATTTTTAAACACAACACGAAAATATAAATTATCCTTAACATATATTTATCTATAGTATATCAGATATCTAAATAAATGTTAAAATTTATTGTATGCAAATTGTAGAAACTAAAACTTTATATTAAAAAGATTATATATTTGATTATTTCAGATTATAATTTATGTATCAAACTCCAAAATATATTAATAAGTAATAACAATCAATAAGAATATAAATTAAAATATTTATAACAAAATACTATATAATAATAATGAAGAATAAGAAACTTAAACAAAAAAATTATAAACTTATATAATATATATAGTTAAATGTAAACCATATATTAAAATTTTTACAATACTATAAAAGTTTTATATTTACATAATGAAAAATCTGTGTGAGTCAAACTCCAGTGTACAATTTTTTATTTATTTTTTAGGAATATATAGTACTATCTAGATAAATTTTAATTTTTTAAACAAAAATTTTTGTATTTAAATTAAAATATAAAGATACAGGGTGATATTATAATTAAGTTATGTAAAATTTGATAGCTTTATAAAGAACGGTCCAAGTAAAACAATTATACATGAAATAACACATGACTTCGTTTTAATAGTATAGATAGATAAATATATAATATATTATTTTGTATATTTGAAATAGAATTTTATTTTTTTCTAACATAATCTATTTAAATTTTGTAAATAAATGTTTTCGAAACTCCATTAATTTATATTGTAATTCTCATTAAAATATAAGTAAAAGTATTCTAGATAATTATCAATTTTCATTTATAAATAAAATAATAATTTTTAATGATATTTTATGATAATTAGAATTTAAATTTAATGATTTAAGGAAATACAATTTAAAAAGATGCCAAAAAGATTTTGTTGGATTTATTTCATTTCTATTTTAAATAGAAAGATAAGATACTTAAAGATATTATCATTAGATGTGTAACATTTGATAATCTCTCTAAGGAATAGTCCATTTTTAGAAAAATCACACATGAATCAAGATTGTGACTTCTGTTTTAATATATAAGACTAGATAGTGACCCGCCCTTTCAAAGGGCGGGAATATGTTTTGTTTTAAGCTTTTTTGAGAAATTTAATTTTTTATATTTGTGTGTTTTGGTAATTATATTTGTGTTTAATATTAATTTAATTAAATATAATTTTTGGTACCTATATTAAATATGTTTGGTTACATAACTATACAATTGTGGCATATGCATTTCANAAGACTAGATAGTGACCCGCCCTTTCAAAGGGCGGGAATATGTTTTGTTTTAAGCTTTTTTGAGAAATTTAATTTTTTATATTTGTGTGTTTTGGTAATTATATTTGTGTTTAATATTAATTTAATTAAATATAATTTTTGGTACCTATATTAAATATGTTTGGTTACATAACTATACAATTGTGGCATATGCATTTCAGACATTATTTCCAAATTTTGTTTCTAAAATTGACAACATATTATATTTTCTCAGTAGGTAATTGCTTATTTAACTAACATATAGGAAGAAAGCGTGAGATATTTTAGGAAATAATTTATGATGTAAAATTCCATTAAGAATTTTAATTTTTTGTTGTGTTTTAAGAATTTTTTCTATTTAAAATATTTTTATAATAAAATCTCAATTTTAAAACCAATTCGGATCCGCGATCGAACCAATAAACCCGTTGAATCGATATCTAATCCAGTTTGGATTTTTATAAAATACCCATTAAATAAAAACTTGATAAAACCTGTAAAACGATAAAATCAGAGGTTGTATGTTGAACCAATGGGTGAAGGACATGTAATACAATTTTGTTAATTTTTTTTATTTTTGAATAAAAATTTGAGTCAATGTTTGAATTAGATATTTTAAAAATAATTCTTAATTTTAATATTATTTTATTATTTTCGTATATGTGTAATTCCAACTTGTTATGAAATAATTTTAAATAATATTGTTATGTGAAATGGAAACTATAAATAAAACTGACTTTAAAACTTTATTATATTTTAAACATGTTTTTAGTATTTAATTTTCTTATAATTATATACTATAATTAAGTAAACTACTGATCGTAGTTCATCCATGATTAATCTAATAACCTAGTGTTTTAAAAGTAATCAAACTAATGACCATAGTTCATTCCCATTAACTTTTATAGTGAAAATAATATTTATGAAAGTAAAGTATCAATATTATTGTTTCCAATATATTACAAAGTATGCATACTGAATAGGTCCAATGGTAGTTATATGTATAATAGAGTAATATAGGTAGTCATACGTGTTTGCTTGGTTAGAATTAAAACATGAATACTTATTACTGTCGGTTAATATGAAAGACGGATATAAAAAATATTTTCATTTTAGAATAGTATATTGTTGATAGAGTTTAATAGAATTCCATTTTAAATTATATTCTTAATT